GGGTCCGGGGTGTTTTTGTAATTGCCCCAGCCAGTAGCCTGTGATTGCAGCTAGGCCCGAGTGGCCGGAGCTGTGCCTCTGGGGCTCAGAGAGAACATTTCCAGGTACAGACAAGCCCACTGAGATTAAGTGGCTGGGGCCAGGCGGGGGTCAAATTGCTTTTAAAATGCCATGGGTCTCAAACCGAACAGTCAGGAAACACGCCGTGACTCTCAGGTGTTGTGTGGAGATTGGAACGTTGGTTGTGATCCTTCTAATGAATATTATTTAAATAAAACCCTGCTCGAGCCTTATACAACCCTTTAAAGACATGGAGCAAGTAGTCATTTTGAATGTGTTGTTACAATCACCACTCAGTTCAGGACATTCTGAATAAAAGAGAACTGTAGTGGGAAATGCCCCCCTGAAACAGATCCCTTGCACCTTCAGCTCTTTCCCGATTAACTGACAGACCCCGGGCTTTTATCCTTGTGGTAACTGACATATTTCACTGGACAGGGCTATTCTCTGGTACAAATGCGTTTTCTTGCCTCAAAAGATGCAATAAACACACGTTTCATTAAATTGAATGTGATGCTTTAAGATCTTTAGAAGAGGTACGAGGGCCAGGAGAGGACTTTGATTGGATGCCTGCGTTGTTCTGAGTGACAAGTGACGTATTCAGGTGCGTTTCAATGCTGCAGCTGAGCAGTTAGCTATCTAGCATGCAAACTGACATTAGCGGTGCAATCTGTAAGAGTGTAAGTTAGATAAGTAGCAGACTGTAGCAGGAAAGCAAATGTGGTTGTTGTTTAAAGTCTGATCTGAACAAATCATGACAACAGAATATGTTATCACATGAGATGAATGCGTGGGCAGTAATGTGTTGCATGTTTGCTCAAGTATCAGAATGCTGCCAGTGTCCAGTGTGCTGAAACTGATGCGTTTCAGTGTGGTGATTAGACAGACATGCTGGGATCTCCCTCGGCTTTCTCCACTTTTCAGTGTCTGACCAGGAAGTGTGCGCTAAAGGTCTTCACCTACACGGCCGTCCTGTGGTTTTCAGTTTCGGGGGTGAGGTTTGTACTCTGGGGCAAATAAGATGGACAATAACCAAGTCTCTCAATGTTTGACTCCTGTCTCTTGAAACTAAATAAAAACAATGACTTCAGGTACTTTTGTTTTTAAGAAAGAATTCAAACTAAATCCAGTGCCACTATGGAAAGAAAAATGTAGTTTCCCTAACCATTAAAGTTGTATCAGATACCCCCTATCAGACCCCCTGATGGACAAAGTTGACAGAGCCAGAGGTTGGATGCGCTCTGTGTGAGGAGCAGTCTCTTTGTGGGCCCCGTGCTCTTCAGACCCCCTGCTCACATCTGACCAGCCACGGTGCTTTGAGGCAGCAGCAGGTTCAAAGAGCAGGAAGTGCCAAGCACTCCTCTCCGTGTCCGGGCCTTTCAGCTTCCCTTGTCAAAGAGCACCTCTGCTCTACTACAAAGTCTTTTGGGCCGGACCAGCTGGGGGGTGGGGGGAAATAAAGATTGATCTACAAAGGGACCCGTTCTCCCTGATGTGTCTGAATAACAGAGGCAGAGGGCAGCTGCTGTGGCAGAATGAGGGCCGAGTTTGGCATCGCTAAGTCAACAGACTTCTTTTACTTTGTTTATGACCGAACAATACTGGAGGTATTTTATTGTCGGTCAGGGATGAAGTCCAGTGGAGATTAGAATCATTATTTAGGCGGCCCCTGTGGTCAAAAGCAGTAGTAGTTTTCCCGGAATGAAGACTGCATTTCCCATGAGCGCTAGCGCCTCATGGACATCATAAATAGGTTTGGTCACTCTCAACTGTATACAAACTACTGTTGATTGCCTGGTGCATGTTGGTAATCATCATAGAAAGCTTTGCTCGACAAATGAAGCTAACGTAAGCTTTGTTCAAAGCGTTAGCCAGCTAGTTCTAGCCACCATCATAAATTCATATATTGATGTAAAACCACGTCTTGCAATGCATTTAAAAAAATAAAATATTACACAGCAGTCTCAGAAGAAGAGGGTCAATTCAGAACAGGTTTGTCAATCCAGTCAAGTATTGCAATTCTTTCCATCTGTTGAATGGCTGACTCTTGTTTTCGCCACACTTTCTTTTTGAGCTTTTTACTTTGGTTCATTGGGACAGTTCTTTTCTTTCTCTTCAGCCATAAACACAAAAATAAAATTCTCTAAAAGCAAAATCCCCAGCTGCTTTCTTTTAACAGGCTAACGTACTCACTACCAAACGTTACCTGTGAAAATGTAAGCGTAGGCTATTCCGGTCCCTCCGGTACATTGTTTCGGCGAATTGGATTCAATGACAAGCATTAAGAATGACTAAATAGAAATAGCCAATATTCTCAATGATGGTCTTGTTGACTTATGTAGGTCAAATAGAGGTGACAGTTTAAATTGAGACTGTTTAATAACTAGTTCAGAACTCTCTGTAGGAGCTTTAAGATATGGATGATGAAACCAGGTGAACTCAGGAGTAGGGCTATAGAGGAACAAATCAGACTGCAACTGAATATTTTCACTATCTATAAATCTATTAGTCTATTGTAGGGTGTGAAGATGAACCGAAGCATATCGGAGAAAAACCTAAGCAGTCAGAGATACATTTGACAAAAATTGAATTATCTGTCAGAAACCCTTCTCTGTAACTCTCTGTAAATACACTGTGTGTGTGTGTGTGTGTGTGAGAGAGAGAGAGAGACCTGCCCCTGTCCAGCTAGCTAGCTACATTCCCAAATCACATCATATTTTTTAACATGGTACCTACTTTAAGAAGTTCTCTAAGGCTACATCCACACTATTTTTTTTTTTTATTAAAAATAAAACCTGTGCTGAATCAATATCAAATCACTGCTGAATCAAACAACACTATGTCATATTGATAAAAAGTATCTTTATGGTTTTTGTATCAAATTGCGGAGTGTGAATCGAAGATCAGACATGTGAAAGGGAGAGATAAACACCCTTAGATATGATCAGACTCATTGCATAACCTAAAGGCCAAGATGATGCAAACAGTTGAGCTGACACCAGAGAACGGCTGCTGTGTTTGCTTGATGAATGACTTAACCCTTGTGTTGTCCTCCCGACTGCCATACACCTGTTGTCCTCTGGGGTCAAAAATGACCCCACCTGGTTTGACTGTTTTTAAAGCATACAGTATAAATTGTCAATCAATTCTGTTTTACACCTTCAGTCTTACTTCAGTCCAACCCATTACAACAAATGTTTCCCTTCATTTTGGAATTTAGGGCCAATAGACCTTGTTTACATAAAAGTATACCCTGTTTTTGAGTGAAAATACAATGAAACAATGAATTATTTTGACTTTATATTATTTTTTACTATTTGACTGATCACAGAGAGGTACATATCAAAGTTTAGTGAGGATGCTGTTCTTGAATCATTTGAATTGTTCTAATGGCAGCACATAATCACACCTGTTGTCCTCTGGGGTCAAAAATGACCCCGTCAGGTTTGACTGTTTATAAAGCATATAGTATAAATTATCACCCACCTCTGTGTTTCAACTTCTTAGTCAACTTTATTCCAAGTCATTACCTGACATATAAAACATGTCAATATTCATTTCTGCAACATTTAAATGATTAACTGGGCAAAATTAGTTATTTTTCTGTGAAACTAATAAATCTTCTAAATGTTTCACTGCTAAAAAGGAGAAAAAAGACCCGATGGGTCTGTGTAGGAAGAGCACTTATGAAACATTTCATCATTTCTGTTTCTCGCTAAGTTTTTTTAATGTACATTAAAGCTTTATCTAATGACGTTGTCTGATTGACCTCAAGACACCTGAGAAAAACCCCAACAAAAAGTCCTAACACAATCAGGTGCCACAGTCAGGAACATAAAGGACATCAACTGGAAAGAATCAATGTGAAACAGGATAGAAGATGTGAGACATCTTTGTTTCAAATTGAAGGAACAGGCAGGCAGACACAAATCTGCGGCCTCCCAGGGAAATGGGCCGACTGTCTGCTGTATCGATGTCCCATTGATTCAGGCTTTGTGTCTCACAATCGCACCCCCATCCCCACCCCTCATCTCCTACAGAGCTACTTAATATGTTTGAGGGGCTCCGGCGCTTCTCATCTGTACAAGGCAGAGCACTTTTCTTTTACCCACATTAGAGGCGGTGTTGGTGGGGAGGAAGGAGAATGGGTCGGCGCGGGGTTGTGGGCGCGCTGGCGCTGCTGCTGCTCTGAAGTCTGCCTGGTGGGACCGGAGCTCTATTAGCTGGATAGGAAGCCAGCGGAGCTGCGAGGGCCTGAGAACTCGGATGAGAGGAAGCTTTTGAAACTTCCCACATCGGCATTAGAGAGATGAGCTGCTATTCAGTGCTCGCTCCCAGCCTGCACCAACACATCCGCAAACACACACATAAAAATAAATGTAAAAAAAAAAAC